TAAAATTATCATTTTTAATTACTCTTAATTTTATGTAAAATAATCTTACTCAAAATCAAGAGATAAATCTAAGAGATTTTTCATCCACGATAATTCAGAAACTATTTCATTTACATCAATTCCATTTTTGTTTCGGTTTCTAAAAAAAAAATAAAATAAACTGCTGAGAATAATTGAGTATTAAAATTGAAATCTAAAGATCAATTAAATTATTATCAAATTAAATATAAATAGCTTTATTCAACAAAATAAAGAATCAAACACATTTTCCACTCTTATTTAATAAAATATACCTGACCAAAATGCTTTTAAAGGTACATTTAATAACTAATAATGGAAATTAGAAGAAATTTATTGTTAAAATTTTTACCTAAATTCTAAATTGATCGTTGTTATAAAAGTTGAATCTATCTTTTAATTAGAAATAAAATAAATTGAAATGAATAAATTAATAAAAATATTCTACTCTGTCCATTTATTTTCGCTATTTTAAAAAAATTCTATTTTAATGTCCTTTTTGTTTAGATTCTTTTGTAAATTTAAGAAATGAAATTTAATTAATTTATTTATTTATAAAAACTTTATCCTTTATTTTTTCATAATTAATAATTTTTGAATTAATTTTAGATGGGTATTGAAAGTTTTTCTTCTCTTAATAATTTAACCTTGTTTAAAAAAAGATTAAAATTAAGTTATGTAAATTTAATGAATGTCTTATTTTATTTTGATTATATTTAAAAATTAAAATCTGATATAAAAATAAAAATCTTTTTTAACATAATTAAAAAATTAAAATGTAAATTTATACAATTCATAAATTATTTTAATTTCATATTTTTTATATTTAAAATTTTATTCTTTCATTAAAAATATTATATTAAGTTTAAATAGTGAATGCTAAATTAACTTTCTGAGATATCTCTTCATAAAACCAAATATATAAATTAATATTTGATAATTAATTAATTTATTATTATATTTATTTGTTCTTTTTAACCATTTATTATTAATTAATTAAATTTCATAAATTGCTATTCAATATTTTTGAAAAAAAAAATAAATGATATAATAGATTAAAGAATATTACAAATTAGAAGAAGTAATTATTAATTTTTTTATTAATAACTTTTAAATTTATATAAATTAATAAAAAAAGTTTAAAAGCTCTTCACTTTTATCTCATTAGGTTCTCTATATTAATCTGAAGTATATTTAATTAAAAAAATTACTTTTATTATTATTAATATTTTTAATTTAATTTCAATTTATTTAAATAAATAATTTTTATTATTGAAATTATCATCATTATTTATTGATTTTTATTAAACCTAAAATTTTTTATATTTTAACTTAATATTTATATTTATTTATTATTCATTTTTTATTACTTGATATATTTTCTTCATTTTTTGCTATTAAAACTTACACTTAATAAAAGCTATTTATTTGTTTTACATTGTAATATTTTTAATTATAAAAGTTAATTTAAAATATTAAAGTTCTTTTAATTTATTTTATTTGTTTTCCTTTTTCTTTTTTTTATGATTTCTTATTTTTTCATTCTTTGTTAATTTTAATAATTTTTAACTAATCTTATTATTTCATATTTTTTCTTCATTTTTTCCTCCTAATTAACTAGAGTGAAATACCTAATTAATTTATATCTTAATAAAATTATAAATAAAGCTAATTTTTAGAAAGCATAAAAGTTCAAAACATAAGATCAATAAGAAAATATGATTTAAAATGATACGATGGGATCTTATGTATTTTCTTAAGATAGAATACAAACTTAAAATAATATTAATTACAATAGCTTCATTTCTAATACAACTTTCGACTAATAAAATCTTTATGGGTAAACTCAACAATACGCCCCTCCACCTTAACAATATAACATATATAATCAAGTTTAATTCTAGCCTGCTCCGTATTAGAATATTATATATTATTAATATCCTATAGCCATATAGTAAATTCAACCGTAATATATTACATATAATTAAGCTCCAGGGTAGTAAGCTTATTATTATGTTCCGCATTATATTTACTAAAACGTATATTAGTAGAACTTCTAAGCATAGAATTTACAATTATCCGGCATCAATAACAACATTTTCAACCAAAACAGATAATGATCCGCACCCAATTCTTATTTCTTTACATTTCAAATTTTAAAAATTAAAATAAAATTTTATATGAAAATATGATCTTTTCCTGAGATGGGAGTTTGTATTTCTTTAATTTAAAAAAACAAAAAAAAAACAAATAAAAAAAACAAACATTAAAAAAAAAATAAAAACGAAAACAAAACAAAAAATAAAAATTATATTTTTATTTTTGAAATGAAATTTTATGGTCCAAGAGAATATTTGGGAATCGAATTCGAAAAAAATTAAAAAATCTAAAGTATGGAAAAATAATAAAAACCTAGATATTAACTTAGCGAAGGTTCTGGGAATCAGGAACCTCTTCCAATAATAAAGGTCATTAAGAAAGACAAGAAAAGAAGATCAGCAAAGATGAATTCTCAAATGTCTGCGGATGATAACAATCTGGATGTAAACGATTAAATTCAATTATAATAAGCATAATTACTAGAAAATTTACCTATGCAGTAGGTACAAATAGACAATGTTTAGGATAATTAGCCAGACATCCATCATTCAAGCTTAATAACCAAATTACAAGCCATAATCTAAATTTGGATTGAATTTTATTACCTAAATTTAAATCGATGTGAATTAACATTAAATTTTGTATTTAGAAAAATTTCCGGATTATAAAATCTAACTGCAAGGATAGTAAATTAATTAACAAGAAAATGAAAACAATAATTTTGAACATGTTTAAGAAAATAATTAAAATAATTAAGAACAAATGGAAGAAGAAATTATCAATATCAATTAACCCGAATAACCAATCAACAATGAGCCCGAATAACCAATCAACAATGAGCCCTAAGAGTACCATAATTTGTTTGGAGTCCGTATTAGTAAAATTTAACAAGCAAATTTGTTTTTAAAGTAATTCCCAGAATATCAAACTTAATAACTATAGGACTAATAAAATATTTAATAGGAAAATTAAAACAATCAAAATCAAGATTAAATTGTTGAAGAAGATCAACAATTTTAATTTATTAATGAATAGATGCTATTGAATTCCCCCTTGTTATGCTAAGAAATAGAAGATGAAATATTGGAATAAATAATGAAAAATAATCCATTCGTATTCACTCCAGTTAATTAAGGAAAATAGAATAGCTATTTGAATACTTTTAATAATAATAATGATACATATTAAGAAATCTAAATTCCTGAATTTAATCTCAGTCTAAATGACGATGAATGAACATAATATTGAAATTAATTTTTACTAATAATAATCTACTTGATATTTTTTTAATCAATTTATCTAATTTAAAAAACAAAAAAAAAATCAAATAAAAAAACGAAAATTAAAAAAAAAATAAAAACAAAAATAAAAACAAAAAATAAAAATTATATTTTTATGAAAAATTGAAAAACAAATAAATAAGAAATAATAGAAATTTATATATCATTAGATAATTAAAATCGATAAATTAAAATTAAAAATATTTAAATAAATAAAAAATGCAAAATCAATACAAATAAATGAAATTTGAATTGCACGTTAGATAATGTGCTGATATGTACATAGGTTCTATATAACCTGAAGAAATTATGACTCCAATTTACTCTAAAAATTAAGAGAATTAAATAACATTAGAGTATAAAAAAGTTAAAATAATTCCAGGATTACTAACTGTAATAGGAGAAATTTTAACCAATGCAAGAGATGTTATGTTTCAATAGAGAAAATAAAAAAAAGGAATATAAATATATTTAGATTTTGATGAAATTGAAGGTGAAATTGTTTTGAAAACTGTTGGAAAAGGTATTCCTATTGAAAAATAAGATAATATATTTATTCCAGAATTAATATTTTCACATGAAAGAACTTCATCAAATTATTAAAATACAAATTTAAATGATCCAAAATTAACTGGAGGAAAGAATGGTTATGGTGCAAAATTAACAAATGTATTATCTGAATATTTTGAAGTAGAAACTAAATATGATAATTTAATTTTCAAATAATTACACTATGAAGGAAATACCAAACATAGTGAACCTTAAATAACTCATTTAAAAATAAACAATAAATAATAAGAGGATGATTATGTGTAAATAAGATTTAAAATAGATTATAATTTTTTCAAGTTTGAAAAAGATTAATTACCATTATTAAAATAAATTTTATATGCATAAATGATTGGAATTTATTCATCTACTATAATTTATTGTAAACAAGATAATAATACAAGATTATTTTTAGACAGATAAATTATAAATGTAAATAATTTATTAGATTACTTATATATGTTTATTAACGAAGAACATAAATAATAGAATTTAAATATTATTAATTTTGTTGATTAATATTATTAACTCATAATTCTAGAAGATAAAAATAATATTATAATTCCAGGTTAGTAATTATAAAAGGATATAATTTCATTTGTTAATGGATTACCATAAAATGGAGGTACTCATGTGAATTTTATTAATTAGATTATAAAATAAGATTAATTGATTAAGAATTTAAATGTTTAAGATTAAGATGAATTAGAAGTTATGAAATAATTGGGAAAATAATATAGGTAAAATGTGTTTATTATTTTTTCTTTACTTGTTCACTAACCTAGTTATACTTCTTAGAGTAAAGATTAATTGAAGACTAATAAAAAAGATTGGTTTGATACTATAGAATTAGAAAAATATATTTAATAATAAATTCAATAATCTTCATTGTTATAAGAATTAAAAATTGAGATTTAATAATAAACTAAAAAATAATAAGTTTTAAAATAGAAAGATTAAATAAAAAAAATGAATATAAATTCAGTCAAAAAATTATAAGATGCTATTAAAATAAGAGATAGAAGAACAGAGTGTAGTTTATTGTGTGCTGAAGGTGATTCTGCTATGAGTTTTATAAGATCTGGGTTAACAGAATAACAAAAATAAATTTATGGTAGATTTCCGCTTAAAGGTAAATTGATGAATGTTAATAGTAAAACTGATAGATAAATTGGTGAGAATGAAATTTTATCATAATTATAGAGGTCATTAAATAGATATTTTACTGAAAGTTTAGATTCTGAAAATGATTTTAACAATTAATTGTATAAAAATTGGAGAGAGAATAAAATTTAAGAAATGAAAGTGGAATTTATGAAAAATTTAATGTAAAGTGAAACTTTACCTTAGAGTGAAACTTTACCTTAGAGTGAAACTTTACCTTAGAGTGAAACTTTACCTTAGAGTGAAACTTTACCTTAGAGTGAAACTTAGGATGAAACTTAGGATGAAACTGAAAAAAAATAATCTAAATCTAAAACTAAAACTAAAAAAAATAACAACGAAATCAAAATTAAAAAATAATAAAAATAATTACTAAAATAATTTAAAATAGATGAATCTAAATTAAACAGAAGAATATTCATTGAAGAAAATGCAAAAATATTTATGGATCAGATTAACAAAAGTTATTTACAACAATTAAAAGAATTTGATATAATGAGATATAAAAATATTATATTGCTAATTGCGGATTTTTTTTTATGTAATAGAGAGATAAATAGTGATAGGTTACACCTATAACTATTTATCTTTCTAATAGAAATTAATATAATATTAAATAAATTTATATAATAGTATTTTATATATATTCATGTATTTTGTATGTAGTTTATAATAATTTAAATAAATTTAAAAATTATATTAAGTTTAAATAGTGAATGTTAAATTAACTTTCTGAGATATCTCTTCATAAAACCAAATATATAAATTAATATTTGATAATTAATTAATTAATTAATTAATTAATTATTATATTTATTTGTTCTTTTTAACTATTTATTATTAATTAATTAATTAAATTTCATAAATTGCTATTCAATATTTTTGAAAAAAAAAATAAATGATATAATAGATTAAAAAATATTATAAATTAGAAGAAGTAATTGTTAATTTTTGTATTAAAATCCTTTAAATTTATATAAATTAATAAAAAAGTTTATAAGCTCTTCACTTTTATCTCATTAGGTTCTCCATATTGATCTCGAGTAAATTTTATTAATTAATTTTATTATTATTAATATTTTTAATTTAATTTCAATTTATTTAAATAAATAATTTTTATTATTGAAATTATCATCATTATTTATTGATTTTTATTAAACCTAAAATTTTTTATATTTTAACTTAATATTTATATTTATTTATTATTCATTTTTTATTACTTGATATATTTTCTTCATTTTTTGCTATTAAAACTTACACTTAATAAAAGCTATTTATTTGTTTTACATTGTAATATTTTTAATTATAAAAGTTAATTTAAAACATTAAAATTCTTTTAATTTATTTGATTTGTTTTCCTTTTTCTTTTTTTTATGATTTCTTATTTTTTCATTCTTTGTTAATTTTAATAATTTTTAACTAATCTTATTATTTCATATTTTTTCTTCATTTTTTCCTCCTAATTAACTAGAGTGAAATACCTATTTAATTTATATCTTAATAAAATTATAAATAAAGCTAATTTTTAGAAAGCATAACATACCTTTTTTTTTGAAAAAAATAAATTTTGAAAACCTATGATGAAAAAAAAAATTCATAAAAAATATTTAAAATCTTAATTTTATAAAATGTAAAAACTGGTATTTAAAACTCGCTTTTTCTAAATTTGTATCGTAACTTACTCTATTTAATGATATATTTTTTCTTCATTTTTTCCTTCTAGTTAACTATATAATGATATATTTTTTCTTCAATATTTGAAAAGTAACGATTAAATTGGTGATGAAGGTGTATCAGGCTTAGGTTTTGCAATTGGTGATGAAGGTGCATCAGGCTTAGGTTCTGCTTTAGCAAATTGCATTAATCTCTCAAATTTGACACTTTACCTTGAGTAAAAACAGTTTTATTGTTTTGGATTGTGATATTTTTAATTATAAAAACTAATTAAAAACAATAAAGCTCTTTTTTCTTTTTATTGTGCTTGCTTTTTTTTGTTCTTACTTTGTTAATTTAGCTCATTATTTTATTTTCAACTTTTGCTTTTATTATTTATTTTTTATTATTTCATATTTTTTCTTCATTTTTTCCTTCTAATTAACTATATAATGATATATTTTTTCTTCAATATTTGAAAAGTAGCAATTAAATTGGTGATGAAGGTGTATCAGGCTTAGGTTTTGCTTTAGCAAATTGTATTAATCTCTCAAATTTGAAACTTAACCTTGAGTAAAAACAGTTTATTTGTTTTGGATTGTGATATTTTTAATTATAAAAACTAATTAAAAACAATAAAGCTCTTTTTTCTTTTTATTGTGCTTGCTTTTTTTTGTTCTTACTTTGTTAATTTAGCTCATCATTTTATTTTCAACTTTTGCTTTTATTATTTATTTCTTATTATTTCATATTTTTTCTTCATTTTTTCCTTCTAATTAACTATTTAATGATATATTTTTTCTTCAATATTTAAAAAGTAGAAATTAAATTGGTGCAGAATAGAATAGAATAGAAATACTCGCACATATAAATGCACTCAGAATACATCTTAAATAGAATATTTTATATTAGTTTTATAAATTTTATTTGTTTTTGTATTATTAAATATATAGACATATTTATTTTGTAAATTGCCTCTAATTAATAATTTAAAAATTTATTGGTATAATGTAGATTGGTGCATCAGGCTTAGGTTCTGCTTTAGCAAATTGCATTAATCTCTCAAATTTGACACTTTACCTTGAGTAAAAATAGTTTATTTGTTTTGGATTGTGATATTTTTAATTATAAAAACTAATTAAAAACAATAAAGCTCTTTTTTCTTTTTCTTTTTATTGTGCTTGCTTTTTTTTGTTCTTTCTTTGTTAATTTAGCTCATTATTTTATTTTCAACTTTTGCTTTTATTATTTATTTCTTATTATTTCATATTTTTTCTTCATTTTTTCCTTCTAATTAACTATTTAATGATATATTTTTTCTTCAATATTTAAAAAGTCATAATTAAATTGGTGCAATTGGTGCATCAGGCTTAGGTTCTGCTTTAACAAATTGCATTAATCTCTCAAATTTGGAACTTTTACTTTTGTAAAAACAGTTTATTTGTTTTGGATTGTGATATTTTTAATTATAAAAACTAATTAAAAACAATAAAGCTCTTTTTTCTTTTTCTTTTTATTGTGCTTGCTTTTTTTTGTTCTTACTTTGTTAATTTAGCTCATCATTTTATTTTCAACTTTTGCTTTTATTATTTATTTCTTATTATTTCATATTTTTTCTTCATTTTTTCATTTAATGATATATTTTTTCTTCAATATTTATAAAGTAACAATTAAATTGGTGCAATTGGTGCATCAGGCTTAGGTTCTGCTTTAACAAATTGCATTAATCTCTCAAATTTGAAACTTGACCTTAGGTAAAAACAGTTTATTTGTTTTGGATTGTGATATTTTTAATTATAAAAACTAATTAAAAACAATAAAGCTCTTTTTTCTTTTTCTTTTTCTTTTTATTGTGCTTGCTTTTTTTTGTTCTTACTTTGTTAATTTAGCTCATCATTTTATTTTCAACTTTTGCTTTTATTATTTATTTCTTATTATTTCATATTTTTTCTTCATTTTTTCCTTCTAATTAACTATTTAATGATATATTTTTTCTTCAATATTTAAAAAGTAGAAATTAAATTGGTGCAATTGGTGCATCAGGCTTAGGTTCTGCTTTAGCAAATTGCATAAATCTCTCAAATTTGAAACTTATCCTTGAGTAAAAACAGTTTATTTGTTTTGGATTGTGATATTTTAAACTATAAAAATGAATATAAAACAAAAAAGCTCTTTGAATTTATTTGATAGCTTTTATTTATTTTAATTTTTTATCTTTTTTATTCTACTAATATTATTTTATTTATTAATTTAAAGAATAATTTATAATTTAAAAGTTTATTCTATTTTGATATTTATTAATAATTTACACAAATTTTTATAAAATGTTTAGCTCAAAGAATGACTCATAAAAACTCAAGGTAAAAAGCAAGTGTCTTAAATCAAAAAGATTAGTTGTCTTTAATATTGATTTCTATTGATAAACAACTGGTGAAAAAAGGATGAATAAATATAAAATGTTTGAATAATATTATATATTTTATTATATAATATTTTGAAAAGGTGTTTTTAACCTAAAATATAAATAGATAAATAGATAGATTTTATTATTGATTTTATATTTATAAATATCATTCATATTTTTGTAAGTAAATAAATTATTTATAAAAAATAAAAAAATAAAATTTACTTAAAAAAATTAAATCCTCATAAGCAATGTATCCAAAAAAAACTTTTAATGTTATATTACATCTTATTAAATTATAAAAATTCCTAACTTTTATATGTCAGTTATATTTTAATCTTAAATATTTATTATCCATCAATCATATTTCTATCCTTTTTTTATTTATCATGATTAATTAATTAGATGCCATGATTTAAATAAAACCTCAGGGAGAAATCAAGTTTTACTTTTTATTTTAACTTTAGTGGTTTTAATGTTTGTTTTTTTTTTTAATTTATCTTATGATCATTTTTTTCATTTTATATTTTTTAAAATTATAAAATAATTGTTTTTTAAATTATCATTTATTGATTCAGACAATACAAATTTAATAATATTTAGAGTAAATTAATGAATTTAAAAGTCGTTAAATTTGAATTTGGCTTTTTATAAGCTTATTTCATATCAACAATTTATGTAATTTTTTTAATATGTTATTATAAATTTTAAAATGCTTATCTTGTTTATTTTTTATTATAAAATGTTCTCTAAATATTCTAGAAAAATTTAATACCTTTATCTTTTAAAAAAATTAAATATTTTTATGCTTATGAAATTTTTGCATTATTGTACAAAAATTTTATTTTAAAAGTACCAGATAAAGCATTTGTTCTTCAATGGCTATTACAAACAAACCTAAATAATTAATTATTAAAAAAAAAAATAATCTATTATTGCTCATGATCATTAAGTAATAACATGTATCCTTACCTACTCAGTACAGTTAAAGAAGATGGTACATAGAGTTTTTTGATTGTACTTTGAAGGTCTGTTTATAGTTCTTAGTTATTTATTATCCTTCTCCAATCCATCCATGATTTATTATTATATTTCCTTCCTTCCTTCCTTCCTTCCTTCCTAACTAACTAACTAACTAACTAACTAACTAACTAACTAACTAAATAACTAACTAACTAACTGCTTCCCTAATATCTAAAATTCCTTTCAATTTAGAATATAGCATAATCTACCTGATCTATATCTAAAATAATGAAGATTCTCTAGACTATAATTAAGCCTTAATTTCTATTTTGCTTACTAAGTCAAAGAAACCTAGAAGTAATTTTTCTTAAGAACAGAGCCTCTTATACTTTTTTAGAGCATGCCTCTAGATATATATGCCTGATTCCTCTTTTATTTGATCATATATTTACTGTATACCGATCCTCTTCAATTAGTTATCAAATTAACATAATATTTTAATTGATATAAGTAGTAATTGGTCTACCTGATTTTTAACCATCATCATGTACACTTCTCTCCCCTTCTTAAAGCACTTTACTAACCGATTTACTAGAGTCTAATGAATGAAATTTCGACCTATTATTTGCTCTAACTCTCAGTGAATAGCTTAAAATGTAAATGAGTCCGACCAAGCTTTAATATAAGTTAAATATTCAATTTTCTTGATTGACCAAATAAAAATTTTGTTTTTTAAATTTTTAAATACACAGTCCACTATCTATGCAATTTCTTCTATCTAATATTACTATTAATAGTTATAATCTCTTTTATTTTTAAATATATAAAAGCTATGCAATTATCTAATACATAAAAAAGAGAATATCAAATATTGGATTACTTTTTGAATGATCTAAGTAAAAAAATCTGAAATCGAATTTCTGAAATAAATAGGATATGTATATGGTTTCTAATACAAATTTTACAAAAAATAATTAAAAATAAAACACATTATTTTATTATTAAAATATTTTTTGAAATAATTTATCCTCTTCTGATTATTTATCTACTATCAACAATCTTATCTAAAGAAGACTAATCTTTTTTATTTAAGACACTTATTCTTAAATTTTTAATTGCTTTCGCCTTCTCTATTAATATAAATTAGAATAAATATATCAAGCAATATTATTAGTAAGATATAAAAATAAATTAAAAAATAGTTTATTTTGAGAAAGAGAAAAAAAAAACAGTATCAAGAATAAAAAATTTAATAAATAAATTTAAAGAATTTTATTGTTTTAAATTCATTTTTATATTAAAAAAAATCAAAATTCAAAACAAATAAACTGTTTTTATTACAACCTACCAATATTCAAATTAGAGAGATAAGTGCAGTTTGCTAAAGCAGAACCTAAACTTAATAAACCTTCATCACCAATTTAATTACCACTTTTTAAATATTGAATATAATAATTAAATAATTATTTGGTAAGAGTTAAAAAATTAAGAAAGCAAGAGATAATTTGAAGTTAATTATTAGTTAAAGCAAAATTAAAAAATTTTTAAATGAGTTAAGTACATTAAAAAAAAGTATAATTACAAATAAAAAATAAATTTATCAGATAAAAAGCTAATAAATAAATAAACCAAGAGAATTTTATTGTTTTAAATTCTTTCTAATAATAAAATGAAGGCAACAATAAAAAAAATGAACTCTTTTTACTTCAGATAAAGATCCAAATACGAGAGTTTAGGGCAGCTTTCTAAAGCAGAGCCTAAGTCTGATGCACCGATTGCACAAATTTCATTGTTACTTTTCAAATTTAAAAAAAAAATAAAATTTGTTTGTATGAAAAAATTAATAAAGATTTGAAAAATTTAAATAATAAAAAATTTGAAAAAATATTGAAAATTTAGAGGTGATTTAATTGGAAAAAAAGGAAAATTACAATGAAATAAAAATTAATAAATCAAATAATAAGGCTAAAATAAATATAACTAAGAAAAAAAATAAATGTTATTACGAAAGATCAAGTGTCAAGTATGAGAGTTTAGGGCAGCTTGCTAAAGCAGAACCCAAGTGTGATACACCAATTGAACCAATATGATTGTTCCTTTTAAAATTATGAAAAAAATAAAATTATTTAGAAAGAAGAAATAATAAATAAAGATATGAAAATTTTTAATAATAAAGAATAAAAAAAAGCTAAAAATTTAAAGTTAAATTAAATTAACAGGAAAAAAGTAAAGTAAAGATAAATATTTAAAATAACAAGCTAGCTAATAAATAATAAAAGAGAATTTTATTGTTTAAAATTCATATTAAAGTTAAATAATATCAAATTCAAAATTACAATAAAATTTAAATAAATTAAATATTAATAAATTTAATAAATTAATAAATAAACCAAAAGAGAGAGTAATATTAATTTAAAATAATTTTATATTAAAAAATATCATAATCCAAAACAAATAAACTGCTTTTACGTGAGATTAAGTGTCAAGTTTAAGAGATTAATAGAGTTTTCTATAGCAATACTTAAATTTGATACACCTTAATCGCCAATATTACTGTAACTTTTAATATTAAAGATAATATTTTTAGTTTATTAAAATTAAAAATGAAAAAAAAATACAAAATAATAAGAAATGATTTATTTAATATTTGAAAATATTCAAATAAATGAGTTGATTTAACAGAAGAATAAATAAATAATTAAAATAAAAAAGCAAAAATCAAATAAAAAGTTAATAAATAGATAAAATAAAAGAGTTTTATTTTTTTCAATACAATTTAAAAATATCTCTCTTTAATTTTTACGTGAGACTAAGACTCAAATTTTATAGATTTTTGCAGTTTGCTAAAGCAGAGCCTAAGACTGATGCGCCTTCATCACCAATTAAACTTTGGCTTTTTAAATATTGAAAAAAAGATAAACAAAGTTATTTAGTAGGAAAAAATGATGAAAAATATTGAAATATTAACAAGCTAATTAATAATTAATCAAAGTAAAATTGGAAAATTAAAAAATAATTTAAATTAATATAAAAAATTTTTAATAAAAATTAAAAAACAAATAAATCAAAAGAGTTTTATTTTTTTAATTGATTTTAATATTAAAAAATAAATATCACTTCAAAACAAAAATCAAATTTGAGAGATTTGAGCACTTTGCTAAACCATAAGCTAAGTCTGATACACTAATTGCACCAATATTTTTAACCCTTTTTAAATAATGAAGTATATATATTATATTAGGATGTAAAAAGGAAAGTTTAAAGTTAAATATTAAATAATAAGAAATTTTAAATTTAAAAATGAGTTAAATAGATTTTTTTTAAAGTATTATAGAATAAAAATTCAAATAAATCTACTAAAAAATAATAAGTAAATCAAGGGAATTTTATTGTTTTATATTCATATTAAAATGTATCACAATCAAAAAGAAATAAGAATTTGTTACCCAAGAATAAGTGTCAAATTTTATAGATTAATGCAGTTTGCTAAAGCAGAGCCTAAACCTGATAGACCTTCATCACCAATTTAGTTAAAGCTTTTTAAATATTGAAGAAAAGATAATTAAAGTTAGTTAGTTAGTTAGTTAGTTAGTTAGTTAGTTAGTTAGTTAGAAGGAGAAAATGAAGAAAAAATAATTAAAAGCTAATTAATCATGAAAGCAAAAGTTGAAAATTAAAAAAATGTTAAATTAATACAAAAATTTATAATCAAAATTAAAAAACAAATAAATCAAAAGAGTTTTATTTTATTAAATTCATTTAAATATTAAAAAATATCACAATCCAAAACAAATAAACAGTTTTTACTATAGATCAAGTGTTAATTTTGAGAGATTTGAGCACTTTGATAAACCAGAAACTAAGCCTGATGCACCTATTGCCCCAATTTAATTTTACCTTTTTAAAAAATGAAGAAAATTAAACTAGTTAGTAAGAAGGTAAATTGAAAGTAAAATATTAAATAATAAGAAATTAATTTAAAATTAGAAATAAAAATTAAAAATTAAAAAATGATTTAAATAGATTTTTTTAAAAGTATCAATCAAATAAAAATGCAAATAAATCTAATAAAAAATAATAAGTAAATCAAGGGAATTTTATTGTTTTATATTCATATTAAAAAAATCAAAATTAAATAGAAATAAGCATTTATTACTCAAGAAGAAGTATCAAATTTGATAGATTAATGCAGTTTGCTAAAGCAGAACCTAAACCTGATGCACCTTCATCGCCAATTTGGTTAGAACTTTTTAAACATTAAAAAAAATATATTGTTAATTAGTTAGTTCGAAAGAAAGAAAGAAAGCTAAAGAACAATACGAAATATTATTATTATTATTAATTAATAATAAAAAAATAAAAGAGATAGAGTATTATCATAGTCTAAAATAAGTAAACAGTTTTTACTTGAAATTAAGCGTCAAATCTGAGAGTTTAGCACACTTTGCTAAAGAAATACCTAAACCTGATGCACCAGTTGCACTTATTTTATTATAACTTTTTTATATTGAAGAAAATAATAAATTAGTTAGTTAGTTATTTTAGAATAAAAAAATTTGAAATAATAGGAATTAGTTTATTAAAAATCAAAGTTGAAAATTAAAAAATAAATGAACTAAATTAAATTAAATCAGAGAAAAAAAATGATAATATGAATAATTAAGTAAATAAATAAATAACTAAAGCAAAAAGGTGATATTTAATTTTTAATTTAAAAAATATAGTAACCAACACAAATATTTTTACCAAGCATCAAACTCTAAATTTTAGAGATTAGTGCACTTTTCTAAAGCAGAAGCTAATCTTAAAACAAGTTAATCATCAGAATTATATGAACTATTGAAAAGAATAAAATTAATTTGATTTAAAAAGGAAAAAAAAGGAATTAGGCAAAATAAATTAAATTGAAAATTAATAAAAATAAATGAGTTAAATTAACCAATCAATATTAACTTAAATAAAAAAATATGATGTGAATATTTATCTATCTATCTATTTTAAAGATAATAATTTATTTAAACTTGATAAATAAACACAAACAAATAAGATTAATATTGATAAATTTGATTTACGTAAAATCAATATGGAGAACTTTATGAGATGAAAGCTATGATTTTTAAAACTTTTTATAAGTTAAAATAAATTTAAAGAATATTCATTCAAAATAAATTAATTAATTACTTGTTTTAGAGATCTATAATATTTTTTCTATTATATCATTTATTTGTTTATTTGTTTATTTTTTCAAAGATATTAAATATCAATCAATATAAATTTAATTAAATATAAATACATGAAAAATAAATATATTTATTTGGGTTTAATTAATTTGAGTTGATTTGGATAAAAAGAACAAATAAATATCAATTAAAAAAATTTACTTGCTTCTAAGAATATTAATGGAAAGATAATTAGATATTTTTAAATCTCTCTTATGTTTTGTAAAACAGCTTTTTAAGAGTAAAATAAAATAAATAAATAAATAAATGAATAAAATTTTGATAGAAATTATTCTACTAATAAAAATCATAAAAAGGAAATCTTGATTTAAGTTTTTAATTGATTGATCAAAAATAGAAATTAAGAGATAATTTGAGAGGGATGTTTTTCTTATAAAATTTTGCAAAAAATTCAAATTTATTTATTTAATTTATTTATAAATATTCACAAAATATGGTGAAAATTTATGTTTGCTGGTGAGGATTTACGGTAATTAATTATAATTCTATTATAAAATATAAAAATCATATTTTTTAATAAATAAATAAATAAATAAAAAAATATATTTCATAATAAGTGGCATGCAAACCATCAAATTTTTGTATGGCATCTTGCTATAACTACATATATTATAAATATTACTAAAATTACAGAACTAAAACAGAAAAATTTACTTATAAATATTATTTTTATAATATTTAAGAACAATAATTAACTACTAGAATTTTTTCAAATAGGACTAAATAAATGACTGGCCATCTCTAATTCCTACAATATATATTTTTAAGTATATGTTTTAAATACAAATATTAAGTTTAAATAGTGAATGTTAAATTAATTTTTCTGTGATATCACTTCATAGAACCAAATATATATATTAATATTTGATAATTAATTAATTATTATATTTATTTGTTCTTTTTATCCATTTATTATTAATTAAATTTCATAAATTCCTATTCAATATTTTTGAAAAAAAAAAAATGGCATAATAGATTAAATATTACAAAAGATTAGAAGAAGTAATTATTAATTTTTATATTAATATCCTTTAAATTTATATAAATTAATAAAAAAAGTTTTTAAGCTCTTCACTTTTATCTCATTAGATTGTTGAAATTGATCTCAAGTATATTATATTTATAAATATTATTTTTATTATTATTAATATTTTTTGTATATTAAATTTTCAATTTATTTAAATAAATAATTTTTATTACAGAAATTATCATTATTATTTATTGATTTTTATTAAAACAAAAAAATTTTTAGCTATTTTAAATTCAATTTTTAATTAATTATTTATTATTCATTTTTTATTATTTGATATTTTTTCTTCATTTTTTGCTATTAAAACTTACACTTAATAAAAGCAGTTTATTTGTTTTGAGTTGTAATATTTTTAATTATTAAAGTTAATTTAAAACATTAAAGCTCTTTGAATTTATTTGATTTGTTTTCCTTTTTCTTTTATTATTATTTCTTATTTTTTCATTTTTGTTAATTTTATGATTTAATTAATTACTAATTAATCTTATTATTTCATATATTTTCTTCATTTTTTCCTCCTAATTAACTAGAGTGAAATGCCTATTTAATTTATAAAAGGCGAAATATAATAAATCTTAATAACATAATAATAAAGCTAAATTAGCTTTAAATAGTTTTATTTTTGAGTTTTTAGAAAGCTTTAAATTCAAAAAATGTAAAATTTGAAATTAAATATACCATATATTCTTATTACATATCATTTTTTTGAAAAAAATAAATTTTGAAAACCTAGGATGGGTGCATCAGACTTAGGTTCTGCTTTAGCAAATTGCATTAATCTCTCAAATTTTACACTTATCCTTTAGTAAAAACAGTTTATTTGTTTTGGACTTTGACATTTTTAATTATAAAAACAATAAAGTTTTTTATTTCTTTTTCTTTTTATTTTGCTTACTTTTTTTGTTCTTTCTTTGTTAATTTAGCTCATCAATATATTTTCAACTTTTGCTTTTATTATGAATTAATTAATCTTATTATTTCATATTTTTTCCTTCTAATTAACTATTTAATGATATATTTTTTCTTCAATATTTAAAAAGTTCTAATTAAATTGGTGCAATGGGTGCATCATGCTTAGGACGTGCTTTAGCAAATTGTATTAATCTCTCAAATTTGACACTTGGCCTTGCATAAAAACAGTTTATTTGTTTTGGATTGTGTTATTTTTAATTGTAAAAACTAATTAAAAACAATAAAGCTCTTTTTCTTTTTATTATGATGACTTTTTTTTGTTCTTTCTTTGTTAATTTAGCTCATCATTTTATTTTCAACTTTTGCTTTTATTATTATTTCATATTTTTTCTTCATTTTTTCCTTTTAATTAACTATTTGATGATATATTTTTTCTTGAATATTTAAAAAGTAACAATTAAATTGGTGATGAAGGTGTATCAGGCTTAGGTCGTGCTTTAGCAAATTGAATTAATCTCTCAAATTTGACACTTGGACTTAGGTAAAAGAAGTTTATTAGTTTTGGATTGTGATATTTTTAATTTTAAAAACTAATTAAAAACAATAAAGCTCTTTTTCTTTTTCTTTTTATTGTGCTTGCTTTTTTTTGTTCTTTCTTTGTTTATTTAGCTCATCATTTTATTTTCAACTTTTACTTTTATTATTAATTAACTAATCTTATTATTTCATATTTTTTCCTTCTAATTAACTATTTAATGATATATTTTTTCTTCAATATTTAAAAAGTAGCAATTAAATTGGTGATGAAGGTGCACTAGGCTTATGTTTTACTTTAGAAAATTGCATTAATCTCTCAAATTTGAAGCTTCAACTTAAGTAAAAACAGTTTATTTGTTTTGGATTGTGATATTTTTAATTGTAAAAACTAATTAAAAACAATAAAGCTCTTTTTATTTTTCTTTTTATTACTTTTTTGTTGTTGTTTCTTTGTTAATTTAGCTCATCATTTTATTTTAAACTTTTGCTTTTATTATTAATAAATTAATCTTATTATTTCATATTTTTTCCTTTTAATTAACTATTTAATGATATATTTTTTCTTCAATATTTAAAAAGTTCTAATTAAATTGGTGCAATGGGTGCATCATGCTTAGGTCGTGCTTTAGCAAATTGCATTAATCTCTTTAATTTGTCACTTAGCCTTTAGTAATAACAGTTTATTTGTTTTGGATTGTGATATTTTTAATTATAAAAACTAATTAAAAACAATAAAGTTTTTTTTATTTTATTGTGCTTACTTTTTTTATTCTTTCTTTGTTAATTGAGCTTATCATTTTATTTTCAACTTTTACTTTTCTTATTAATTAATTAATCTTATTATTTCATATTTTTTCCTTCTAATTAACTATTTAATGATATATTTTTTCTTCAATATTAAAAAGTAACAATTAAATTGGTGAAATAGGTGCATCAGGCTTAGGTTAAGCTTTAGCAAATTGCATTAATCTCTCAAATTTGAATCTTGACCTTATGTAAAAACAGATAATTTGTTTTGGATAGTGATATTTTTAATTATAAAAACTAATTAAAAACAATAAATTTCTTATTTCTTTTTCTTTTTATTTTGCTTACTTTTTTTTGTTCTTTATTTGTTAATTTAGCTCATCATTTTATTTTCAATTTTGCTTTATATAAATCTTATTATTTCATATTTTTTCTTCATTTTTTCCTTCTAATTAACTACTTAATGATATATTTTTTCTTCAATATTTAAAAAGTAGCAATTAAATTGGTCATACATACATACATACATACATACTCGCACATGGTTACATGCACTCGGGATAGGGGCCCTATATATAATTACTTATACATTATTATTATACGTATACCAATTTATTTATATATAATTGTGGGTAATATACTAGAAGGGAAGGGTCACCTACACCCTAATGGCATTTCTACTAATCTTCCATGATTTGACTACGCATTATGCTCGCTTCCCATTTGTATTCCAGATCTTCTGTTCAGAATGGGGCCTCCTCTTTACCACCTATCAGATTTGGCCCTTCCCTCCTACCAAGGAGACCGCTGGTAACATTCACATTTTTACATGGAATTTTTCGAAATAAAGGGGGCGGTATAGGATTCGAACCCCCGATATCACTGCTAAGACCCTCCGACTCGCCCACTCGAGCCGCTTAGCCCTTCTTAAATTGGTCATGAAGGTGCACTAGGCTTATGTTCTGCTTTAACAAATTTCATTAATCTCTCAAATTTGACACTTGGCCTAAGGTAATAATAGTTTTTTGTTTTCGATGTGAAATTTTAAATTATAAAAACTAATTAAAAACAAAAAAGCTCATTTTTCTTTTTCTTTTTTTCGTGCTTACTTTTTTTATTCTTTCTTTGTTAATTTAGCTCATCATTTTATTTTCAACTTTTGCTTTTATTATTAATTAATTAATTAATCTTATTATTTCATATTTTTTCCTTCTAATTAACTATTTAATGATATATTTTTTCTTCAATATTTAAAAAGTGATAATTAAATTGGTGCAATGGGTGCATCATGCTTAGGTCGTGCTTTAGCAAATTGCATTAATCTCTCAAATTTTACACTTTACTTTGGGTAAAAACAGTTTATTTGTTTGTTTTGGATTGTGGTATTTTTAATTAAAAAAAATAATTAAAAACAATAAAGTTCTTAATTCTTTTTCTTTTTCTTTTGCTTAATTTTTTTTTGTTCTTTCTTTGTTAATTGAGCTCATCATTTTATTTTCAACTTTTACTTTTCTTATTAATTAATTAATCTTATTATTTTATATTTTTTCCTTATAATTAACTATTTAATGATATATTTTTTCTTCAATATTTAAAAAGTTTTAATTAAATTGGTGATGAAGGTGCATCAGGCTTATATCCTGCTTTAGCAAATTGCATTAATCTCTCAAATTTGACACTTGAACTTAGGTAAAAACAGTTTATTTGTTTTGGATTGTGATATTTTTAATTGTAAAAAATAATTAAAAACAATAAGGCTCTTTTTTTTATTTTTCTTTTTATTGTGCTTACTTTTTTTATTCTTTCTTTATTAATTTAGCTCATCATTTTATTTTCAACTTTTGCTTTTATTATTAATTAATTAATCTTATTATTTCATATTTTTTCCTTCTAATTAACTATTTAATGATATATTTTTTCTTCAATATTTAAAAAGTTCTAATTAAATTGGTAATGAAGGTGCATCAGTCTTAGGTCGTGCTTTAGCAAATTGCATTAATCTCTCAAATTTGACACTTTTTCTAGAGTAAAAACAGTTTGTTTGTTTGTTTTGGATTGTGATATTATTAATTATAAAAAATAATTAAAAACAATAAAGTTCTTATTTCTTTTTCTTTTTATTTTGCTTACTTTTTTTTTGTTCTTTCTTTGTTAATTTAGCTCAATATTTTATTTTCAACTTTTGCTTTTATTATGAATTAATTAATCTTATTATTTCATATTTTTTCCTTCTAATTAACTATTTAATGATATATTTTTTCTTCTATATTTAAAAAGTTCTAATTAAATTGATACAATAGGTGTATCAGGCTTATGTTCTGGTTTAGCAAATTGCATTAATCTCTCAAATTTGGCACTTTACCTTTAACTTTTGTAAAAACAGTTTATTTGTTTTGGATTGTGATATTTTAAACTATAAAAATGAAAATAAAACAAAAAAGCTCTTTGAATTTATTTGATTAATTTTTTTATCTTTTTTGTTGCACTAATATTATTTTATTTATTAATTTAAAGAATAATTTTTAATTTAAAAGTTTATTCTATTTTGATATTTATTTAAAATTTGCACATATTTATTATAAAAGTTTTAGCCCAATGAATGAATCATAAAAATTCAAAGTAATAAACAAGTGCCTTAAATTATAAAGATTAGTTGTATTTAGAATATATTGATAAGCAACTGTTGAAAAAAAGGAATAATAAATATAAAATGTTTGAACAATATTATATATTTTATGAAAAAATATTTTGAAAAAGTATTTTTAACCTAAAATATAAATAAATTTAAAGATGTTATTATTGATTTTATATTTATAAATATCATTCATATTTTTGTAAGTAAATAAATTATTTATTAAAAATAAAAAAATAAAATAATTGAATTTACTTAAATAAATTAAATCCTCTTAAGCAAACAAACCCTCAGTATTCTCCAAAAGTGATCAAATAATTTGAAACTTTTAGTTTTATATTATATCTTATTAAATTATATAAATGCCAAGCTTTAATACACCAATAATATTTTAATCTTAAATATTATCCATGAATCATATTTCTATCCTTTTTTTATTTATCATGATTAATTAATTAGATACCATGGTTTAAATAAAACCTCAGGGAGAAATCAAATTTTACTTTTTATTTTAATTTTTGTGTTCCTCATTCCTCGACATAGGAAACTCTTAATGCCAAGAATCCAAGACTACGAGGAACTACAGTAGTTATTTTTTGTTCTTTTGACTTACTTATCTTACTATTGAAATTTAAATTGATAAATAAAATTAAATTTTTATCTTATTTAAGTTAATAGGCTATTTATTTTATTAAATTAATTTTTTAGGATTTATCATAAATAAGTAATTAACTAAAAAATTTCTAATTTATTATAAAACCTAAATAAATATCAGAATATAGATAGATTAATTTACTTACCTTTATCTTTAATTAGTAAATCATTAATCAAAATTTAGATAATAAAGTATTCTTAATTAAATTTGTAAAAAATTTGCTAAAAGTAAAATAAGAAAAATAAAATAATAGAAAATGTAATATAACAGCTTTTTAGATGTAATAAAATAATATTTAAATTTTCTATTAAATATAAATATAAATTTTTTTATAACAAAAGTTTCTAAATTCTCCTCTTAAAAATAAAAATTCTCCTCTTCAAAATAAAAATTAAACTGACCAAAAATAGATAGAAGAAAAAAAAATTTACTAAAGTACTTAGGAAGTATAAAACTTAACTTAATTTGAATAATAAATACATTCATACATAAACATAATTTTAAACAAAAGTTACTTAGCTCTTCCCTAGCATCAGACACTTCCATCCATCTTGATCTAAAGTTAACTTTTAATTATTAATTCTTTTATAAAAATTTATCAACTTGCATTTAAATAAATTTTAGTTATTTTAAAAAAATTTATGAAATTATTTTATTTCATCAAAAATAAAGCTATAAGTTAATTGGGGAACAAGACTTAACAAATTTAAGCTCTGTTTTTAAAAAATGTGTTAATCTGTCCATCTTGAAACTAATATTGAAGTAAATGCTTCATCAATAAATTAATAAATAATTCATAAAAATTTCACTCAATTTTGAATGATAATTTGATACAAATCATTCTTCCTTCTTTTTTTATTTGCTAATTATAATATTTTTTATTAATTTTTATTTAGTGGAAATAACTTAGGTGATAAACTTATTTTATTTTTATGTAATGCTCTGTCTAATTGTGTGAATCTTTCAAATTTGAAACTTGACCTATTGTAAAATTAACCTCATTCATTATTATTGATCATTAATTTTCATAAATGCAAAAATCATATAAATAATATTTTTACTTAACAACAAGAAATTAAAAACTTAATAGATAACGTTTACTCAATGCATTTATTTATTTATTAGATTTTTTTGTTTTTGTTGGTTATAATTTACATTCATTCATTTAATATCTAAAAAGTTACAATAACATTACAGAATAAGGCATATCTAACTTAAGTTCTGCTTTGGTAAAATGCTCTAATCTCTAAACTTTAAATCTGGATATCAAGTAATTAATTAACTGCTAACTTAATTTTATCTTTTTGTAATAGTCTAAAAAATAAAATTTAATAATAAATCAATTTCTCATTTAGAAAAATTAATTCCTTAATAATATTTTAAACTACAAATTAATTGTTAAAATAAATTTAGATCAAATAATATTGGAAGCTAAGGTGCTTAGATATTAGGGTAAATGCTAGGTTAGTATTTGTAACTTTAAACTCTTAATCTAAACACAAGGTAAAAAATATATTAATTTTTATCAGTTAATTTCAAATATAAATAAATATTCTTTATTTACTATCATAAGAATTTATTAATTATGCTTTATTTAATTTGTATTTTATTATAAAATTTCATAAATAAAATTCTGTTTTTATTTAATATGATATTAAATAGCTATTATCTAATATATTTATTTAATTTTTATATAGTTTCAATTATATTGGCCCAAAAGGTGCTTCTGGTTTAGTTTCTACTTTAGAAAATTGTACGAATCTAACAGAAATAAAGTTAGACCTTTTGTAAATAAAATTAAATTTAACAAAATTTATCAAAATAATTAATTAATTTCCTTTCTTTAAATTAAACTTACTTTTTTTTTTTTGAACTAAATATTTTAAAAGTGTTTGTAGCTTATGTGAATAGGGTGCCTTATATTTAGGCTCTGCTTTAGCAAAAATAAAAAATCTTACTACTTTAAGTTTAGGACTAGAGTAAAATTTCTAAATTACTTACTTTTTTATTTTAAAATAAATTTTTGATTGTAAATAAAAATATTTAATTGTGAAGACTAATCCTTTCATACAATAGAAATTTTTATTGCTTTCTTTCTTTCTTTAATAAAATTTAAATAATTAATTTATCTAAATACTTAAAAGCTAAAATAAAATTGACTTTAAAGGAACATAGGATTTATGCTCTGAGTTATCAAAATGTTCTAACCTCAAATACCTCACTCTTTGTTTGTTGTAAAATTAACATATTTATTTATTGGTCTTTAATATTTAAGATGAATTAACTAATATAAAATTAAATAATAAAAAATTATTCTAAAAGTGGTAATAATATTAGAGATTTGGGAATATCTGGTTTAGGTTCTGCTTTAGCAAATAAGACAAATCTCTCACATTTGAAACTTTATCTTTAGTATCAATCAATAAATCTATTAATTTATTATTTTTTTGGTTAATATCATAAAAAATTAAAAAAATATTAAAAATATTTTTAACAGAAAAAGAAATCATCATTTTAATTTATTTATTTATTAATTTTTAAATAAATGCTTTTTTTGAAAAAGATCAAATTTTATTGGAGCTAAGGGTTTATCAATGTTTGCTTCAACTCTACCTATTTAAAGCAAACTCTCTATTTTGGAGCTTGATTTATCGTAAATTTTATTCTTTTAAATTTATTTTTTCATATAAATAAACAAAAGCTTATTTAAAGTCTACTTTATCGAATATTTAAAAAAATATTATTGTTAAACTACTTACTTTTGACAAATTAATCTATTTTATTAACAAATTGATTTTAAATAAATAAAAGTAAAAATGACATTGATTTTTAAAGTCTTTAAGATTTGTGCTCAGCTTTAGTTAAGATGCCTAAATTGTAAGCATTCATCTTATTCTTTGAGTAAAAATTATTAAAATATTTATATAATTAAATATTTGTGTTTTTTTAATTGCTCAACATATTCTCTACAATTATTTAAATAATTTTGATTTATATATTTTTTTACAATTTTAATTTTAATTATTAATATATTTTTTGTTTATACGTATGATTATATTTAATTTTTGGATGTAATTTTTAGGAACATTTTTGATTAAGGATTAGAAGAGATCATTAATGAAAGTGATATGGAAAGTTTACTTTGTATTTTAGCCAAATGCACTTAACTCTCAACTTTATAAATGCCTCACTAGTATCAATATTCAATTTATTTAATTAATTTTTTTATATTTAAAAGGGAATAAAATCATTTTGAATTTTTTGATTTAAAAAGATAAACAAAAAATAAAGAAAATTTAACTGATTAAATTAATAAATAGAGATTTTTATTTTAATCATTATTTTTATAATTTTTCAAATTAAGTTACATTAGAAGACTAAAGAAAACGAAAGTTTTAAAAATGAAGAGATTAGTTAGTATCAAAAACTGATACATAGATAGAAAGATAGATAAGCTTGCGATATTAATTAATTTCTTATTTTAGGTATATTGACTTAAGTAATATAAAAATAAAACCATGAATGACTTCAAAAGACAAATAAATATCAGTCTATACAAATAGATATTTTACAAAGATAAATAAATTTATATCATGTATGTTTACTTATGTGTTTGTCTGGTTCTTTTTATTTTTAGTCTAAATATAATTTAAAATGAATGAATCTTTCTTCATTAAATATATATTATAAATTCTCATTAATTCTCACCAACCCTCCCCCCCCCACAAACACCAGGAGTACTATATATGAATAATTAAAATATTGTATTTCAAAAGTATAAAAATATTATCATTCATTAAATCTAATATATATTAATTAATATATTTTTATTAAATTCAATGTTAAATTTGAATTTATTTTAGTATAAAAATTATTTTAGATAAAAATTAATTTGATCATATTTTTTACAGTAATAAGCAAAAATAAATAAAGGAAACAATTTTAATGATATAAAATAAATCACAGAGGCATAATTTTCTTCACTAATCTCTTGATTTTATTTAATTGAGTTCTTAAATATTGATGATATTTCTTACTAATCTTATTATCACTTTTAAAATTTAAATGTGTTGATATTATTTTAAATAATTTAAAAAGTAAAACTTTCAATAAAATAATATTACCTGATATCAAACTTAATAAATTAAATATTAGAGCAAGTTACTATAGAAGAACATAAGTACTACAAACCAAGATCTCCAATTTAATTCCAACTTTTATCAAGATTAATAAAAATTTTTTATTCAATATTTTGAATCATCGAAATAAGTAGTATATATATAATATTGAAACCAATGACTATTTTAGATTGAAATTAAAATAGAAAGATCTGATTTTTATATTTTAATTTCTAAATTATGATAAAAATAGAAAATGTTTAATACCAAAGCTCAAGTGAAAAAGCAAACAGGTTAGTAAATTTTTTTAAATGAGAGCCTAATCCTATAGCGCCTTCATCACCAATTTCATTACTACTATTAAGTTAAAAAGAAATAATATAATTTAAAGAAAATTTAATAATGAATGAAAACTTGTATTTTAGGTGAAATAAATTAATTAAACTTTCAAATCATTGAGTTTAATTTATAAATTATAATAATTTTTCTCTTTCTAAAACATAATATTAAAAAATAAAAAAACTTAAGAAAAAATTTATCTAATTTACCTCAAATCCAATCTCAATATTTACAGTTTAGGGCAATTTGACAAAGCAGAGCTTAAATTTTATGCACCTAATGATCCAATTTTATTCCATCTATGAGTTTATTTAAAGTAATTTTAATTTAAAACGAATAAAAATTAATTAAATAAAAATTTTAGTTGAAACAAAAATCTAAAAATAATTGTTGAAAATGTAAAATGAATGAATGAAAAATCAAGTAATATTTTAATTTATTAATGATATTTTTTTATTAAAATACCATCGAAGCAAAAAGGTAATAAAATTGTTATAAATTAATAAAAAATCTATGTAAAAACTCAAAAATAAGACCCTCATTTTCTATTTTACAAAATAACTCTTTTACATACTTTTTTAAAACCAAAAATTTTAATTTTGAGGGTATTTCTGATAATTTTTTTAATCTTTAGTAGTATATTTTTTATAAATTTAAATAAATTTCTATTTTTAATTTTGTATTTTTATTGATAAAAAAGTAGAGCCAATATACAAATTAATTAAATAATAGGAATTTGACTACCTAAGATTAATTGTTAAAGAAGAGAGAGAAATACAACCAGCTATACCAAGACCTAAATTTGAAGAACCAAGTGACCCGATTTAATTGCTACTTTAATTTTTGATATATTTATGATATTATAATTGTATAATTTACAACTAAAAAAAAAAAAAATAAATAAAATAAAAAATTAAACTAGAACAATAAATGAGTATTGTTTTTTAAGTTTTAAAAATAATGAAGTGGAATAATAAATAGATAAGAAAATATATCAATCAAAAAGTTAAATTTAATAATTAAATTACAAGCTTACATATTTTTAATAAAATGATTAAAAACTTTAAAAATGAAAATAAATTGAAAAAATTAAAGTATTTCAATAAAAATAAAAAGATTTAATTAAATGAAATTTAGTATTTAGATTTTTAGCAGTATTTAAAAATTAAAGAGCAAATTTATTAATCTTTACAAGAGTATTAAGGTCAAAGATTCCATTTTAGTAAATGATTACAATACACTGCCTAAACAAGATATACCATCATCGCTAACTTGATTATTACTTTAATTAAAAAATTTTGAAATAATGAATAAATTTAAAAAAAATATTATATGAAAATTATTTATTTTTTTTGCTAACTCTTTCATGCTGCTGATAAAACGCAAAAGCTTAAATTTAAATACTTTTTAAATATCTAATTCTTACCTAATATCGAGAGTTAATGTAGTTAGCTTAGAGCATTTTGCTAGACTTAAACTTAAATTTTATGTGCCTTTATCATAAATTTAATTGCCACTTTTAACAATTTTAGTAATTAAAAGAATAAACATATTAAAATTAAATGGCTATTAAAGAAGAAAAAAAATAAATTTAAAATCAAATAAGCTATCTTTAAAATTAACTAAAAAATTCTTGTTTTTTGAATAAAAATAAATGTTTTTATAAAAATTAAATATAAACAAACAAAAAAACTAATAAAATTAATAAATAAATAAATAATAAAGTAGTTTTTACCTAATGTTAAGAAATAGGGTTGATAGATTAATGCATTTTCCTAAACCAATGCCTAAATCAGAAGCTCCTTCTGCTTAAATAGAATTCCAACTATTATTTTATATTTGAATAATAAAAAAAACTCAAAGAAGAATTTGATATAATTTAATTTTAAAGGAAACCTTAATTTTTATTAAAATTTTATTGTAATTTTGCAATTAAAAAATTATAACAATGCAAAAGATAAGATTTTGATTAATAAAAGTGATTATAAATTTTAATATAAAATATTTAAATAATCAATAAAATTTTTTATACAAAACTACTAATTTTTAAAACATTTGAATAAATTTTAATGGTGTATGTAATCATTCATTCTATTTTCTATTGAATAGCTAAAAAAAGAAAATAAAAACAACTTTAATTTTATTTTACTAAATTTGTAAATTCAGATTTGAAAGATGAAGACACTATGCTAAAGCAAGGCCTAAATCTAACATAGCACCAGGACCAATTTTTTTATTCCTTTTTTAAAAATATTGATAGTTAAAATGACTAATTAATTAATTAATTAATTATATGTTTCCAAGAAAATAAATTAATTAAACTAATTGAATTTCTTTTATTTATAAAGAAAAAAGAAATAGCTTTAAGTAAATAAGTAAGTAAATAAATATAAATGATAATTAATTATAATAAATTAATTACTATAGTTGGAGCCTCAAATTTTAGAGGTTAGTACATTTTTCTAAAGCTGAACTTAAAGTCAATATTTCTTTGTTACCAATTTAAGAACTTTTATTTATTAAAATTCAAGATTAAAATTAACAAATAATGGTTTTTGAATTCAAAAATATATCTTTATTATTACCTTATTGAAATATGAAGATTAGAGTGTGACAAAAAATCACTTTTTTAGAACTATTTTGTTTCAAAAAGTAAATTTAAGAGTTAATATTTGAATAAATAATAAATTAATTTTACTGTCAATAAATTATCAAAGTATTTTAAGCAATTCATTTTTATTTTCAAATAATTTTTAAATATCAATCTAATAGAAATAAATTTAATTAATTAATTAATTAATTAAAAGTAAAAATAAAATTAGTCTAAAGTAAATAAATTCTCATTTATTAAAATATTTTAAAAATGAAAAAATCAATTATGTCTACTTAGCTTTGTATTTATATTTATAAATACAATAAATATATATGCTAATATATGAAAGACTGGGATTTTATATTTTGGAGTAAATACATTCATTTTATATTTGTATTTAAAATAACATTATGATTTCAATTATTTGTATGATGCAAACAAAATTTAAAGATACATTAAATAAATAAATAAATAAATAACTTACTTTAAACCATCATTAATTAACTCCAAATATTTCAAAAAATTTTAGTAAATGAGGATCATATTAATAAATTTTATAAAAATAAAATTTTCATATATATGGAGATATTTATGAGGATTTAAATAAAGATTTAATAAAAATTATTTAATTTTTGAAATCGATAAAGCGATCTACTAACAGTTTAATCTATCAATTGTTATATTTTAAATTTTTAACATAAATTAATTTATAAAAAATATTTAGTTCAATTTTTTTTTGTCTTTTAAAATATTTAAGAAAAAAAGTAATTAATTTAAACTATCTATTTATTAGATGAATTAATTAATTAATTTTATTGTTTATTATTTGATATATTTCCATCCATTAATATAAACTAATATTTAGAGAAACAACATTTTTTAAAATATATATTTCTATTTAAATTATTAAATTTTCTTATTGTTAAAATTTTCTAATTCAATTAAAAGTTTAAAATGCATCATCACTTACGTCTGATATTGTTTCAACCTCCAAAATAAAATTTCCTTTAAAACCCTTAATTTGAATACAAAAATTATAATCAATATCTTGTATCTTTTAAGCTTTACATGAGTTTATATGGTTATAATTTGGATAACTACAAAATTTTAAAATTCTTTTAGAAATATTAATTCTCACTTCAATTCCTTATAATTTTTTTCCTTCTTCATATAAATTTTAACCTTTTTCAATTATATCTAAACCTCTATTAGATTAATATGTGTAAAAGCATAAATTATAATCTCTGAGGCATTCTAAAAAGCTTTTGATTATTCCATTATTCCTATTGCTATATGAGAATATTCATCAAAATTTGAATTTATTGTCACTCTAAAAATATAATTTTTATTAATATCTAATCTATCTTTTGTAATTATCTATCCAGTTATATAATCTTATTTAACTATTTATAAATTCCCTTGTACATTTTTTTTTAATTCAAGCTATTTACTTAAATCTCAATATATAGGATTGAACTCAACAAATGCAAATTTTTTTGGTTAAAAATTAATTTAACTATTTAAGAGTTCAAATAATGGATAATTAACAAGTAGTTATGATATTTATTTGCTAATATTATTGTCATTAATCATATTTTTTAATTTTTATTGAATTTAAAAAGAGTTTTTTTAGTATTATTGAATAGGATTTTAACTTTATTAATAATTTATACCATATTAATTTGATAATTATGCTATTTTAGCAACTAAAATATTTATATCTTTAAGCTATTTATCCTATATGTCTTAAAAATTGATTGGATTACAATTTTCTTAAAATATATTTTTATCTTGCAAATAAATTTGATTTATACATTCAGGGAACTTCTAGGCTGCAGATTAACAATTTTAAAGGAATTCTTTTTTGCAGTAATTAGATTTATTGTAGATTAATTGATTAAATCTATTTAAGGCTTCTTTCTCTTCATTTTGATTTCTTCTTAGTTAAATTGTAGAATTGTTGGTTTAGTTCTTTTATTTGAATTCTGTGATAAGGCATAGTATTTCTTCTGTTTGTTTTTCTGTAAGATGAGCTAAATTTTTAAGTTTTTACATTTATTATGAATTGAGTTAGTCAAATGGGAATGTATGATGTTCATCAGTTTAGCCAATATTAACCTATTACTTGTTTAGAAAATTTTCAATCTTTAAAACAATTTAAGTGAGTTCATTAAGTAGTTCGTTAGAACAATTATTAAGTTAACAATTAATTAGCTTTATTATAAGTT